TTTATATACCCAATACATTTTTTTGCAAAGGCAGTCAACCTATCCTTAATGCTCTGAAGCTGCCTTAACTAACTGACATGTGTACGCACACAGCTCATAATCATAAGAACTAGAAAATCTATATAAAAAAAAAAAACCCACAGGCCTGAAGTAAGGACATGAATACAAATCGTTTTTAGTATTTAAGGATTTTAAATGTAAAAGCCATTTTATTCCTGAATTCTGGCTGTAATTGCTCATTCCTATTGTTGTGCATTTCAAGATCACATGTGTGACTTTGCAATAATTCCTCTTTGAATGGTATTCCAAGAAAGCACTATTGTATCTGGCACAGACAATATAATCTTTATGCTCTGCTCTTGGAGGGATTCAACATGAACATTTTTGTTTACTAACTAACAGCAATGCCTGATTCTGAAAACACAGTGGCTGTGTTTTGATATTTATGCTTATGGCATGTACTGTTGTCGATTCGGTGTGTTGCTGAATGCCCATTTTGTTAGTAGCATGATAGCATGATCAATTAAGTTAATAGGAAAATTCATCCCCAAAGACAAGTATAGTTTGTGTCCTTTTATTTCAGGTGTATTAACTTATAGCCCTTTGCCTGTTGGAGGTATTGAAATACAGCAGATCATTTTACTCCCTTTTGTGAACCTAAATTCCCTCCCTTTTGCCTCCAGTTTAAATCCCGCCTCCCTTGTCTGTCTTTCCTCCTCCCTCTTAGTGGACAAGCGCTCCACATCCACCACAAACCTGAAACAGCCGTCTGAGGCTGGCATCAGCAAACGCCTATCCTCCTCCTCCGCCACCCTCCTCAAATCACCTGACAAACGTAAGTCTCCTCGCTTCCCTCCCTCTCCTCCTTCCTCCCTGCTTCCATCCTACCCAGTGCTCCAACTTAACCAACAAAAGTGTTTTGTTTTTGTGTGTGTGTGAGAATATTTATGAATGAGCTTTTTCAGGTATTGTACCATTTCTGAAATGGAGCAAACTGAATGAACTCTGACCCCTCTCCTTTTTCATATCCAGGGTTTAACAGACTCACTGATGCAGAGAGGGATTGGTAAAACTGCTTTAATCTGTTTCTCATTCCTGATTCCAGATACTGCCCAGTTCTTCTGCATACATTCACTGCATCTCTTCGGATTCATTAATCAGTAAATAGTTTTAAGGGCTGCTGAGCACCAAACGATGATGTTCATGAATATTCTCTTGTATTATAGAGAGCTGTCACTCTTCTGTTACAATATACTCAATCCTGTTTTGATTCACATAGAATATAGTAGAAGTGTACAAAAAAAAATCATGAAACGGGTATTTGATTTCTACAGGAAATAATCAATGCAGATGGGTGAATCACATCTCTTCACAGCCTCTTCAGGCTGACAGTGTCATTTTTATTTTCCTTTTCAGCATAACTGGTTTCTCTTTACTTCTCAGCTTGTTTCATAATAAATTATGCCACCACTCTGAATACAATATATGAATTAATTCCAAAATGTTGTGTACCAGTTACAAGCTAGTCTCGTTATTTCACCTTTGGGTTATTTCATCATTGTCCCTCAGGTGTTAAGCCAAGGAGTTCATCTTGTAACCGGTTACCTAGCAATGCCAATGCTGATCAGGCCAGTAAGGAAGACGACAAAAAGCTTCAGGTGGAACAGACAGGTGCAAAAGATCCCCTCTTCATCTCGCATGATACTTTAATAACCAATATTGTGTTAAATACACAATTTGTCAAAATATTGCATTATTTATTAAATACTCAGCTGTGTCTTATGCATGACATGCACACTGAAGATTGGCTTATTGCTTGTTATTTTGTTGAAACACTTAAAGAGGCTAAGAGTAGTATTACAATAGTCAGCTCTGATTTAGGGAGAATGAGCTAGTGTGATCAGATGGAAACGTTGAAGCTCGTCTTTGTATCACGGCTTCATCTCTTAAACTGGGGCATCAGCTGCTGTCAGCCTTAACCCGGTGACTCACATAAAGCAAAACAAAGTGCACATGACTTGTAGACTTTCTTAAGGGTTTCCTTGTTGACTCGCCCAGTGCCTGCTCGGCTATAACTCCACTCTCATGTTCCCAGGCCGTTCTGTGAAGAAGAGAAGTTCCTCCCTTACGCGAGTAAGTCTGGGCAGAGCACAGACCCCTGCAAAGCCTGATAAGGGGACAACGGATGATCAAGGTGGCTAGCATGAACAATCAGCATGCAACACTCATGCATCTGTCTTTAAATAATAAGCATGTGGCTCTGATGCTACTTCATCTGAATCCTCTTGTATTTTTAAATCCTTAACAACGCTGACTGCTGCTAAGAGCTTTTAGGGATAAAAAATCTCATTTATCTCCTTTCAGACTTATGAAGTTCAAGTTTTTTTTTTATGCTGGATCTTCTTGCTGCATATGGCCTTTTTTCCCATTCATGTTCTCATTTACCTAAATGCTCATTTACACCGATGTCAGATGCAGTTTTCTCTACGCTGCCAGTTGTCTTTGATTTTCTGTGAACGTTATGCTTGTTCCATCAATCCTTTAACCTTTTTGCTGTCTTGACCTAGCTGATGCTGCTCTACGTCACATTTCTCACTGGACGTGAATCTTGTTTTAACCCCTTTTGTATTTTATTTTTTTATCTTTTCATTTTTTCAAGTGTTCACTAAGGAAGTGTCTGTTGTGTGCTCTGCTTGGACTAACACTGTGTATTGTTTTGTTGTCACAAAGTGTTGATTGTTTTCTCCCTCCAACATGACGTCATAGGTGGATTTAAGTCACTCGTGCTTCATTGCGGTGTGTGTCCGTGCCATCCCAACATAGCAGCCACAGAGCACACAAATGACCTAAGCAAATCACTGTACTCTGTGTGTTGCTATTAACAACCAGTGCTTTTATTTGTTCCGTAGCCAAACCAGTCTCTTTGTATGTATGAAACTAAAGAAAAAAGCTCTTGTCTTCTATTCATGTATGTTCTGTGTGTTTAATCTGAGCAGTAGCACAACACATAAGCCGTCTTCCATACTGAATCAGCATTTTAGAGCTTAATTTTAATTTTTTTTCATAATTCTACCCTTATTACAAAAATAACTACAGAAATTATGACCTGGATATAGAGTAGGAAACAGCAGGAAGTCATGTCGCCA